GCTGTATGTTACTGTATGTTTATTAAACCAACATACAGTGCAGTGACTTGTTTAATTCTCAAATGTATGTACAGTATAACAGTAGTATTCTTGTTTAATAAATATGAACGTTTGAAGCAAGCAAAAAACATTTATGTTAGCAAGCTGAAGGTCAACGTCACGAGACTCCAGTGTGGTTCTGGTAAAAAGTCGCTGTTTTTGTACTTCTCATATTTAGCTTTGTGCAACGTGTCGTAGTGACTTGCATTAAAATCCTTCGTTGCAGACAGCATCTCTAAGTAGGCTAACAGATAATCTATCTCACAAAAAAAGAAACAAAATATTTGAATACAAGATGTATTTATGTTTTGTTAGTAGATCCAGTATAGATGGGGAGGGATGGGAGGGTTCTCGGGGCAGTGTGTTTTTGTTAGTTTGTTTTTTTGTTTGTGGTTTATGTTAAACATAATTTAAACAAAAACTTCGGAAAGAAAAAAAAAGAAACAAAATAAAGTTTTTGGTTGGGGGGGAAATCATTGGTGTGGCCGGCAGTTGCTCATCCCTGGCTGAAATAGTAGGGGATGTCTCCTGTTGGGTTCACGCACTGCTCTGAATATTTTGACTGGTGTCTGTTTTAATTAGAAGCAGAGAAATAAATCCGAGCTGACAGGTTGTCCCGTTCAGCTGATCCAACACCCTGTCTGGGACTCTTAGAGCTGCGGGGAGGCAGAGAGACACCAAGACAAACTCCTCTTTGCATGTGGAYAAAGGCTGTTTCCAGGTCAGCTACTCCTCAGACAGCTCTGCTGTCCACGAGCTTGTAGTAAAAAAAAATAAAAATACTCGCTAATCTTTTACCCTTTCTATCACTCCGTGTGTGTGTGTGTGTCTGCATGTGTGTGTGTTCTGCCCTTGCGTTGTCCCCTCACATGTAGATGGAGTATGGCTCTCTGCTGGAGCGTAAGCCCCTCTCCTCCTCGGCTTTTAGAAATACACSAACGAGCTCAGGGGAAATGAATTCACTTGATTAGCTCCTATATTGAACCCACTTCCAGCCTCGTTTTCCTTTTCCACCTTTCTCATCATGACACGCTCACTTCCAAGCGCACAGTTGATTGGACCTCACTCACGCCCAGCAGGGTTGTCAGAACCATGCTGGGCGTGAGGTTTTATGCAATTATTTGTATATTTGTTTGTACTTTTTTGAGCAGAGCCAATATTAGATGTAGTGAAGTAAAGAAGTGCTGAAAGTGTTGCGCAGCTCTCTGCTCTGCTTTGTTTGTTTATGATCTGAAAACTAATTCACGTCTTGCATCGGCAYTCTGTACTGACAGTAAACAGAATTTCTAAGAGAGCCTGTATCAAAGGTAAATTTATCTTCAGATAAGCGGCCATCATCTTTCGTGCTGTCCTGCGTTAGAATGGGATATTGGAGGTCCCATGTGTGGCCACAGTGGTACAGCTTGGAGGCACAGCCTGTGGCGTCCTTTGTTTAATTCCCTGCCAGGCAAATAGCTGGCTGCCTGAGCGAGCCGAGCTGAGTGGCGTCTCACATTATTATGCACGTCCAGTCTCCCAGCCCTGCCCTGATATGTCAGCAAATATTGCTGTCATTGCTTTCTGGCCGTGGGCCTCTGCTCCTCTCTCAAAGTGACTGCTGTGGTTGTTTTTTTGTTTTTTCTTGTCCTGCACAGAAATACAATAAGAGGTGTCAATACACTAATGATAATCCACATTTACACATTCCTTCAAGCCTTGGTGCAGATCTTTTTGAAGGAGGATTCTGTGGTAATGCTATGAATGGCTAATGTCTTACCTGTTGTAGATAACTCCTAGAACAACCTCATACAGTAATGCTGTCCTGAAAAAAAAAATACATTACCCCCGGTTTCACATTACACAGTTCTTTAATTGACCATTTTCGAGTGGTCGACTGTGTCAGAGTTGTTCACGCAGCGTGCCCTTGCAGGTTTTTGATTGGCCGAGAGCGCCCGGGTCAGCAGAGTGAAGTGGCCGCACTCATCCAGCAGACCCTGGAGCAGGAGAGGAGACAGCGAGAGCTCCTGGAGCAGCAGTACGCCCACTACGATGCTGATGACGATGAGGTAATGACTGCACACCACCTCCACCACTCTGTTTCACTGAAAAGAGCAACAAAGTATTGTGGATGTGAGAGTATTTGGCTGTGATGTAAAATTGTAACGTTCCTCATACTCCTTCCTGGTCGTCACTTAACACACGTCAGCTCTTTTTCACGAAGACAGGGTTTTAGCGTTTTCATGTCACAAAGCTGATTGACAGCGGGCCTTTGATGCAAACACAGAAAACACTCCCACTCGGCGCCGTACGAACTAAGAGGAGAGCTGCATCACTCAGCATTTTCTTCTCTGACTGTGCTGCTTAGTCACAGCACGTTTAATCCTCCTGACACGCAGCTCACGGCCCTGCAGCTCACGCCATCGCTGCACGCGCACAGAATATCACAGTGGAGGGACATAAATCACTGCAAAGCCTATCCTCTCATACAAAAAAAAAATAAGCTCAACTTATGCATGGATTTCAGCTCGACAAGCAGATATTTCTGCATTGTTTTTTTTCCAGTGTTGTTAGAAATCTTTTCTAGCATTTACTCCTCTCCTGGCTGCAGATGCTGAGCCCAGCCCTTCTGTAATTATAGCACTGTCAAGTCTTATTAAYGCTTTTATGGCTCTAATTTGGCTTTTAGCGAAGAACTCTGCATGCTGTGCAGAGTCAGACCTTTACACTGGAGCTATCTGTTGCTTCCCTGCTGCTTGTCGTCATTTCAGATTGTTGCAGCTTAATGGTAATCAGCATAATATGTTAATGGCACTGAGAGGTTGTTTTCCCTTATGGTGATGAGAGACAAACAAACATGTAGTCAGCYTTCATGTAAAGAAGGGTGGCAGGTTAAGGAAAAGCAATTTATGTTCTAGGACTCTGGTTCCCAACCACTGGCAGCCTCCTTTGAAAGCAGGAGCAATTTATTCTTTATATTTCTTCCAGTCCTTGTATGGTTTGTTCTTTGGTTTTTCCATTTCAAACTGAAATAGCAAAATAAAAACAGCCATGTTGTTGTATTTTTTTTTTCATTTTCAAATCCTAAATGTAAAAATGTAAAATCAAACTAATTAAAAATACAGTGATTGATTTTTGC